GTATGTACATATATCATGCAATTATATAAATATAAAATGTCACGACTAAAAATAAATGTTAAAACACATTTTATTTCTCCAGTGACCTTTATGGCCCTGTGTCTTCATAGGGATTGCCATAATATTTTGGGGGTAGTGAGAGTATATTTGTGCAGCTCAATTGATAGTTTACTGCTGTTTTTCCACTTCTATCACAGATGGGCAAAGAAAAGAACGACGCCCATCAACTTAGTCCCAAGGTATGTATTATAACATAATTGTGCAGCAAAGTCTTACATCAACGTGGATGCTGGCAGGATGAAGATTGGCAGTATCTGTGGTAGATGAGGAAAAACAGCAGTGTCCTGTTTGGTATCATATCTTCGAGTAGAGCGGAGTCAAGTCGCACCTTTGTTTCTTTAGTAACGCGTACATGTTCTCATTCTTTTTTTGTTGTTTATCTGTCTGGTTCTCCCAGAGCTGCTGTGGAGAAGCCCAAGGGGCCAAGCAGGCGCAGCTCTCGAGCAGAGAAAGACTTAGAGGAGGAGCCATTGGCAGATAGTGGCATTAGGAAGAGATCAGCTAGGCCTGGAACAAGTGCTGCAGTAAAAGGTAATATAGACACTAACATGACTTTAAAAGACAACATCTGTCACTGCACATTCGCCATAAAAAATGCATAATTTTTCCACTAATAAAGTCTCATATTGTTTCAGAAACTGCAGCAAGTCCCACTCAAGCCAAACGAAGGAAGTCTAAATAGGCACAGCTACAGTTGTTTACCTGTGAATTGTACTGTAAATGCTTTGTTTTCCGCTGTGAATCAGTTGATGTTGGCTTCTCTGGCCTAGATTATAAATTTTCACTGGAGGAAGAAACTATGTACAGATTGTTTAAACAAAACAAAAAAAAAATGAAGCTATTGTTTTGTCCATAGTGTCATGTGTGCTTGCATTTTGTGTGACTGTGCTTTTTATGTTAAATGCTGGATTAATTGTGAAGATTGATAATGAACCTCACCATTACTGTATAATTATGCTGTAACATGGAATAAATTTTTTTACTGCTTTTGTTCTGTGAAAAAAAAMAAACACATTTTGTTTTATTCTGAAGTTGATTTTTGGCAGTGGCCACCCAAAAAATTTGGTGCCCACTTTGATTAGACAATTTTAGCCTCGAGTCCAGTTTTATATTTATTTGCTGTGCATTTTTTAATTTTCCTCGTTGTTTAGGGTTAATAGTCTCAAACAAAGTTTTTGATCAAGTAGAAGTAAAAATATCAATGGAATTATTTAAAATTCTAAAATAAAACTTAAAATAGGGTTGTCCTTCAGAAGGACTGGTCTAAAACCAATGTCATCAACAATGGGATAAAGGGTCTCAGATGGTAATGATTTTTGTACGGGTACATTTTTAGTAGGCAATTTCAGGATTATTCCCTAACTCACACGCTCCTGTATTTGTCACATAATTCGTATAAAATAATCCTTTATTAGTCCCACAGGTGGGAAATGTAGGTTGTCACGTCAAAATTTATGTATATGACATAAACCAAACAAATCTCCTGAAATTCTGTTCTAGTTTCCAATGGCCCTCTGCACTACTATCCTGTTTAAAAAAACTGAAGGCATCACTGATTGATATGTAAATACCAGTGTATTTGTGAGTTTATTTGTACTAGTTCTTTAGGACGGGTAAAGTTTGGCACATTTTAAATTATATATATATATATATATATA